AAATATATCTTTTGGAACAATGTGGAGAAAGTTATTTTTAGATGGGAGTAAATATTAGATGACATTACTTTAAATTTTCTTGGTGGAATAACAGCATTATGGTTTTAGTAGCACCACGCCCTTACCTTAAGGAGATGCATTAGTAAAGTAAACGTTAAGTACGTCTGCAATTTATTTTCTACTTACTCTCAAACAGCTCACCAGAAAAACGTATTTCCTTATCTAGAGGGCAAACACGCAAAATGCTATAACTGGTTAATCTACTTCCATGCACATTCATTTCGCAAGTTGTTTATATTTCCTTTAGGTTTAAGATATTGCCAAAGAAAAAGGTCACAAAAAATACAAACATCTCAATGTGAAATTCAGTTATTCTAGCAGTAGTGTCATAAAGCCTCCATTTTTTTCCCCCTTGTTTGAAGCTCTGGGGAAAGCACAGGCTCCATCTGAACTTCTCCTAGAGAGAAGTATTCTTGTTTCTCTTTAATAGATTTTAGTCTACATGTTTATATAATCAGATACTGAAATATGCACAGCACAGACATCTAAGAAAGTACATTCTCTTTCTACTCGATTGTAATGTGTCAAAAATACAGACTGGCGCAAAGACAAACCCAAATTCTCAGTAGAAGGGTTCTTTTGCATACGAAGAGAAACAGGCCCGTTTGCCCCATCTTTCCCCCAGTACTCACCAGAATAAGCCGGAACTGTCAGACCCCTGGGGACACCGTGGGGCACCCAGACAAGGCCACTCCAACAGCAGAAATTCTTCTCCTTCTGAAGGAAAGAAAGTTACAACTGTGTTGTGGAGGATTCCGAACCAGGGCGCACGGTGGATGAAAAGCCCCCGTGCACGCGCCCTGACACAGCATTTTCTGAGCCGGCTCCTCAAGGGAACCCACGGCACGAGCGGCTGCCTGCCCGGCGGGGTAGGCGACGGCCAACCGCGCGGGCCCGGCCGTCCCAAGTAGGCCCGTCGGCGTCGGGGACTAAGACAGGCCCTCGATGCTTCCCTCCAGGCTCACCAGGGACGTCCTCCCCGGGACCGCGACCCACCTGGCGCGCTCGGAGCTGCGCGGGGCCAGCGGCCGCGATGAGCCCCGCACGCGCGCGGTGCCGCCGGGAGTCGGGGCGCTCTGGCGCGCGTGCGGTTCCCCGCGTCTGACCACTCGGGTGGGTGCGGAACGGCCCGGGCCGGGGAGGGACCGGGGCCGCCTGGGGCGCAGGCTGCAGGAGCGCGGCCGGAGGCGGGTGGGCGGGGCCGCGGGTGGGGCAAGGCCCAGCTCCCCTCGGGGCGGCGGAAGGGCGCGGCTGTGGGGGGGTGGGGAGGGTGTGCGGAGGCGAGGAGCGAAGTCCCCCGACAGCCTGTCCCGGAGGTTTCCGACCCCCCCGCTCCACGGGCCTAGAGCCCTTACCTGGTGGGGACGTGTTGGTAAAGGTCAAACCCGTGCAAGTCTCCTTCATTCAACCAACCCCGTCTTTAGGCGTTTATTTCCTTTTATTCATGTTTATTTCGGTTGGATACAATGCAAAATGCTAATCACTCATTGTTTTCAATGTAATGACATTTTTCTGTACATATTTTACTTTTTTCTATTTCTAATATGTGTTTCTGTTTTTGTATTTGCGAAATAGCACTGATCCCTTCACTGATCATAGTGATTCTAAAGTTGCTCTGGTAATAATCATGGTAGCTGTGGTTTCAGTGGATGGCCTTTGAAGTTAATAAAGGTCTTTTTAAAAACACTGGGTGAAACAGTTTATCCAGACTTAGGGGAGGGGGGAGGGGGGATGGATGAGATAAATGAAGAGGATTAACAGGTACAATCTTCCAGTTATAAAATAAGACAGGGGGATGTAGTGTACAGGATAGAGAATATAATAAAAAATATTGTGATAACTTTGGTGGCAGACGGTAACTAATATTTTGTGGTGACCATTTCATAGATTATATCAATACCAAACCCCTGTGTTGTACACTTGAAACTAATACAATATTTCATGTCAATTATTCTTCAACAGCAAAGGGGGAAAATAAAGACTTTGTCAGCTTTCAAAATAAAAGAACCAGTTATTTTAGTAACAAAATGACTTTACTTGGGAATAGCAGAGGTATTTCCATTCAGGATAAGCAAACTATGACAAATCATAGGCAGATCCAAAGAGACAAAGGGAAGGTCAGCTTCGTTTATTAGGCTTTAGGAGGAAATTGAAGAGGGTTGTTTTGAATAAAAGTTCCCTGGAAAAGAGGAAGGGCTTGGGGTTGTGGAGAGCAGTTTAGTGCATTGTTGCTGGGGCAGGGAGAGATCTTCCTTTTTAAAAGCAAAAATAAAATTCCTGTGTAACAAGTGTCATTCTTTGTTAAGATAAGGAGTATCTTCCTTCTTCCTGCTCGTTCTCACCAGCTGCAATGAATAGTTCATGGTGGGGGACAACTACCCCTTTGAGGCTTTCTGACTCCTTTAAATAAGGTTTCCTTTACTCATTTTCACACTTCATATTCGAGTGCATCATCAAAGGTGCTTAATGAACCTATTGAATCGATATCTATTTTGTTATGTTAATGTTTCATCTTTTACTATACATTTAATTTTCATGCAACCAAAGTAGTCTGTGTTTAAGCCCCAGAAAGTACAGGGAGATACTCCAGGCAGGTAATTCACAGCCCAAGAGGGCTTGCCCTGGGGACACAGGCAACTTAAAGTTTCCAGAACCTTGGGGGCTGAAGTCTCAGAGCATCTCATTAAGTCAGCCTTCCCATTATTATTCTGTTCTTTAAGCAGATAGGCTCTCTTGTGGTAGAAAGAAAATAATAGAAACGAAATTTCCTGGTACTTCAGTCTCCCTGAAGGGAGCTGTGGAGAGAGACAAATTTTTCCTCCAATTATTCCTTCTTTAAATGGTATGTTTCATCATTTACAGTTCAGATCAATCTCCTGGAGATGAAAAGTTGTTTTAAGCTCCTTCAAAGTCTCTTGGGGCTCATTAAGATTACTACTCAAATTCTGGCCTCCTCTTCACAGCGTTTAATTGCAAAATGAGGAGTTTCTCTTGAGGAACGTGTTAATGTTAAAAAAGCCCCTGACATTTAGGTGACAATGTTATTAGTGACACTGCTCCTGTCAAATACAGGATTTTGAAAAATGTTAATATTCCTTAGAATTAATTGGGTACCTGAGGCCCCTGTAGACCTCAAGGAAAGTAATTGTGATGGAGGTAGAAAGATTCCAGTTGAGTTGGTTAAAGAGAGAGTGAGCAGTGTGGGAATGGAAGTGGCAAGTACAAACCAAATATCCAAAAATTAGGAGCAAAGACTCAGAGAGTTCAGGTCTATAAGTGAGTTTCATTTTCATTGAATGATATGGGACTGTCAAACAAACCTGACCCTGGAAATGATACATGCCCTGCAGACATCGGAAGATACAGGATAAGGGAGGGGCAAGTGATAGTGTAAATCCCCTGAAGAATTCAAAAGAGATGGGATTCAGAATTCAGGTGGAGGTTTTTAAGAGGCAGTTATTAATAAAATAATTACACAGGTAATCATTGAATTACAATGGTAGCTGATGTGATGGATGGCAGAGTGTCCAGTGCAGGCCCCATCACAGAAGTGAAGGATCATGGGTGGGATTCAGCCCAGCATCATCTAGCCTAACTCCCCACTCTCTGAACAGGAACTGCTTCCTCATTCTGTACAGTTCTCGATTTACATTGCCACCAGGGCAGACCAATGAACTCCAGCCTATCTAACCACTGAGAGCATATCACCAGTGAGGTTCTGTAGATCCCTCAACTCAACTTTTCCAAAATTAAACTGATGTTTGATTCCCCTAAATAATGCTCTTGCTGTTATTTCCATCACATTGAAAGCTAACACCGCCAACTCTGGCACCTATAGAGTTGTTCAACTCCAGTGATTCTCAGTCAGGCTGATCTTGCCCCCTACAGGACAAGTGACAGTGTCTGAAGACATTTCTGGTTGCCACAACTCAGTGTTGGCCTCTAGTGGGTAGATGGCAGGCAGGCATCTGTTAAAGGTCTTCACAGACAGGACTGCTCCTTACAAGTAGTTACATAGAACAAAATGTCAGTACTGTCATGGTTTAGAAATCTTTGTCTAAAGTGTTGAGGACTAATGTTAAAAATTGTACCTAAAAAATCCCAGCCATTGTGTATTATTTTATAATGATATTGAAAATATTAACTGAAAGAAATCATACAATCTTTCTCCATTATTTTGTGCTACTTCCTTTCTTATTTTGGCCGAGTATACGTAACATAAAATTTACCATTTTAACCCTGGTTAAGTGTACTCATTTGACATGAAGCACATTTGCATCGTTGTGCAACCATCACCACCACTATCTCCTAAACGATTTTATCTTTCCAAATTGAAACTGTGGCCATTAAACATTCACACACCATTCCTCCCTTCTTCCAGCTCCTGCCATTCACCATTCTTTTTCCCCCTCTCTGTGATTTGACTATTCATAGTTGGTGCCTCATATGAGTAAAATTTTACATTTGTCCTTTGGGGACCGTCCTATTTCACTTAGCATGATATCTTCAAGTTTCATCCATGTTGTATCATGGGTCAGAATTTCCTTCCTTTTTAATACTAAGTAATATTCTATTGTAGGGATAGACCACATTTTGTTTAGTCATTTATCCACTGATGGACACTTGGGTTGCTTCCACCTTTTATTTGTTGTGAATATTGTTGCTGTGAACATGGGTGTTCACAGAAATATCTATTTGAGTCCCTGCTTTATAAGACATCATTTTTTTTCATAGCAGCTTCCACAATTGAACTGTTATTATTCATTTACCTCTTTGTTTTCTTTCTCCCCCACTGTAATGTAAGCTATACAATGACATAGACTACTTCACAATCTCGTTCCTGGCACCTAAGACATTGTAGGTTCTCAATAAATATTTTTAGTATAAAATGACTGGTTCGAAAGGTCTTTGACTATTATTTCTTTTTTTTATTAAGGTATCATTGAGATACACTCTTATGAAGGTTTCACATGAAAAACAATGTGGTTACTACATTCACCCATATTATCAAGAACCCCCACTACCCCACTCAAGTCACTGCCCATCAGTGTAGTAAGATGCCACAGAGTCATGACTTGTGTTCTCTGTGCTACACTGTCTTCCCCGTGACCCCACGCACACTATGTGCACCAATCATGATACCCCACAATCCCCTTCTCCTTCCCTCCCCACCCACCCTCCCCCACCCTCCCCTTTGGTAACCACTAGTCCCTTCTTGGGGGCTGTGAGTCTGCTGCTGTTCTGTTCCTTCACTTTTGCTTCATCATTATAATCCACAAATGAGGGGAATCATTAACCACAAGGCTCCTTACAAGAGGAAGGCAGGAGAGCTAGAGAGAGATTTGAAGATGCTGTACTGCTGACTTTGAAGATGTAGGAAGGGATCGTGAGCCAAGGACTCGTGGGTGGCCTCTGGAATGTGGGAAGGGCAGGGAAACCCATTCTCCTGCACAGCCTCCAGAAGGAAAGCAGTACCCCCTGACACATTTTAGACTTTGGATCCCAGAACTATAAGATCATAAATTTGTGTCGACAAGTGAAAAAATTCTGATATGTCCTACATTAAGTGACATAAGGACAGGAGAATGATAGAAACAAGAGAACATAGTCAATAGACACAGGCCTTGGCTGACCAGAAACTTACCACTCCTGGATGAAGTCGTTTTAACAAGAATCTAGAAGGTCTCCAGGACCACCACATCCCCCTTGCATGTGACCAGTGTCTGACCGTCATCAACAACCAATCTATAAGCTTTTTCCATGGGGTGACCACGGATCCCAGGAATTCCCCCACTTCACCATGGCCCAACTTCCTTCCCTGCAGCCAAGGTGAATTTAATGGACTTTCTTTCCTTGAGACCCCCTCATAAATGTGCCCTGTTTCTTGAGTCTGGTGGACAAGTTGTTAACTGGCCTTGCTGCTGGTGAAGCAGAAACTTGCTGTCACAGGACTCAGTCCTTATTCTGGCTACATCAGTAAAGGCTCAATAAACCCTTTTAATTTCAGAGATTTCATGCTCTCTAGAGTTTTTGACTTCTTGGTGTCATGTTAAGCCACTAGACTCACGGCCATTTATTAGAGCAGTGATAAGAAACAAATAGACCTCTCTTCCAAACTCTTCCTGTCTGGTCACCGCTGGCCATGTCAGGTCTCCAGCGTCGCTCCCCGGGGCTGCTTCCTGCTTGCCTCTGCTTCCAGTTTCTCCTACTCCTAAGAAGCCTAAATGCTTCATATTATGCCAATGAGTGCAGCCTGGCCCTGACGCTCCATTGCTTTTAAAATCCTTAGTACATCAAATTAGACACTCAATTGTGTGTCAGATATCCTCCATCTGTGTATCTGTAACTCAGTCCTCACTTGCATGCATCCTCCTGAAATGCCTTTCTCTGGAATCTCTTCATGCTTGTGTGCCTGGGCTTCCTTCCTTCTCCCTCTTCTGCCCACTCACCGGTCCTCTCTGCATCCTTCCCAAACCCATATTCTCTAGTTAAGTTTCTACTGGTTATTTGTTCCTCTGTGCTCAAGGAAATTCTCCCACTAGAAGTCTGTCCTGAACCTCCAGGGTTGGCAAAGATGTGGAAAAACTGGAACCATCATTCATTGCTGGTGGAAATGTAAAAACGGTGCAGCCACATTGACAAAGAGTTTGGCAGCTTCTTAAGAATTAAACATAAAATTTACCATATGACCCAGTAATTGTCCTCTGAGTTATTTGTACAAAAGAAATTAAAATACAGAAACATGTATGCAAATGATCGTAATAGCACTATTCATGATAACTCCAAACTGGAAATATCCAAATATCTACCTACTGGTAAATGGATCAACAGAACATGGTATATCCAAACATTTGAATACTATTCCGCAGCTGTAAGGAACAAGAGGCTGATACACGTCGTCCACATGAATAACCCTCAGAAATCATGCTAAGAGAAAGCCAGATACAAAAGATATATATTGTATGATTCTATTTATATAAAAATCTAGAAAAGGCCAGTTCATAGAGCCAGAAAGCAGATAAGTTGTTGCCTAGGACTGAGGTAGAAGTGGGTATTAACTGCAAATGGGCCCAAAGAAACCTTTCGGGGTGATAGAAATGTTCTGAAACTGGATCGCGATGGTGGTTGCATAGCTCTATAAATTTACTAAAATTATGGAATTTATGCTTTCACTGGGTGAATTTCATGGTGTGTTAAAGTATACCTCAAAAATCTGTTAAATAATTTTTTCAGTTTTTTCTGGATTTACTCGAACTGAGTTGAAAACATTCACCTTTTGTTTTCCATAGGCTCTGTTACATACCAATATTATTATACCCCCCACTCTATTGCGATCATGTTCATCTCTTTGGTCTCCTCTACAATTTGTATACAGCAAATAATCACTACATATTGGTTTAAACTTAATGAAATCGAAGTGAATTGGAGACATGCCAAAGACATTTTTCCTCAGTAAAAACCTGTGACTTTGCATCCACTTAAACATCTTACTCTATACCTAATATTTGTCTTTTTTTGTTTGTTTTTGGTTTTGCTCCCAATATCCGCAGTTCCATTCATGATATTGTTTGGACACCCTTCACAGTCTTTATCACCTATCTTACTTTTGTTTCCCAGAAGCACATGCTAAGCCAAGGATTCATGTGCAAGGAACACTTATTGGAAGGAAAAAGGAACGCGGAACATGGGTTAGAGAGAAACATAACCCAATAAACCTTAACTTAATTCAGCTCTCACAGTGAGTGAGCAGTTTCATCCTGTAGGGAAATTCTGGAAAATGGCACAAAACCCAAACATCAGAATTATCCCAGTGAAGGGATGAAGAAGAAGGTACACCCTACACCTCTCCATCAAGGGCTGTCCCTGGTGGGACATGATTCCCCATCACTTCTGTCACCACGCTCTGGGAAAAGCACATCCCCTCTGCTGCTGACCATTGGCAGGCAGGCTGGCATGAGGTGAAGACAGTGATAGGATCCATGGGAAGGAGACAGAAGACAGCTTCGGCTTCACTGCCCCTCACTGCACACTCAGCGCTGTCGGTGTTCTTCTCAGAAAGTGAACTAAGTCCTGAATACATTTCACAAGTGTGTTACTACCATTCCGGATGGCACCCCCCAGAAAACACAAACATAAACCATGTGAGAGAACAAGTCTTATTCTATCGTGCTTATTATTACATTGTTTTGGGATCCTGGTATCTTAAAACTAGAATGCTGGGAAACAACAGTCTAACAAAAAGTAAAGGAAGAAAGGAAAGCAAGCAAGCAGAAAAAGAAGTGATGTCCCAGAGTTCTATGCTATTCGATATATTATTGTGAATCAAAACTAGCCTTCAAATCTAGATTCCTATTCTTGACGTTGGAAATCACATCATTGCTGTCAGGAGAAGGGTGCGAGCAAAGTCAGGAGGGTGGGCTCAGTGTTAGGTTTCCAGGTTTAGAATCCATCCCAATCTCAATCCCTTTGAAAAAGGAGAGAAAATGTATTAAAGAAATGTCAGGTCTATGTAAAGGTACACATATAAAGCAACAAGATTAGTCCTGATGTGGCAAGCACTTTGGTTATAGCTATTTCATTCCATTTCTTTCAGGGAAAAACAAACACAACCAGATTACAAGGAAGAGTGTCAAGGGGAACCAAGATAGCACTTGATGTAAACGCTTCACATCTAACATTGGAAGACCCTGAAAGAGCTGTAAGGAAGCTGACCAGGGATTGGACTTTATGCATTATAAATAAGGAAGATTGCTGAGGAGGTATCTGAGGGGAAATTAACACAAAAAACAAATAAAAGCAAATTCTAGGTATTTGGGGAATGGAAGTAGTGAAGCATGTCTTTTAAAGGAGAAAAGACCAGGAGACTTAAATTCACATTTGCCTTTGGTGCCCACAATGTCAATTTAATTCTGAGGCCAGTGGCCCATCACAGACAAGGGGCTCCTGAGGAGCCTTCCCAGGGCCCCCTTCACATCCTTGTTCCGCAGGCTGTAGATGAAGGGGTTCAGCATGGGGGTGACCACCGTGTACATCACCGAGGCGATCAAGCTCCTCTGGGGAGAATGGGTTGCAGCCACGCTGAGGTAGACCCCCAGGCTTGTCCCATAGTACAAGGAGACCACAGACAGGTGAGACCCACAGGTGGAAAATGCTTTATACTTCCCCCCTGCAGAGGACATTCTAATTAAAGTGCAGACAATCTGAGAGTAAGAGAAGAGGATCCCAGTGAGGGGTACTACACCCAGAACAACGGTTGACACATACAAGAAGATGTTATTGACAGAGGTGTCAGAGCAGGCCACCTTGAGAACCTGAGTCAGTTCACAGAAGTGCGGGATTTCAGTGCCTGCACAGAAGGTCAGCTGCACCATCAGTAGAATATGAGTCAGTGAGACCCAGAATATGGTGAACCAACATGCAAGGACCAGGAGCCCACAGAGCCGGAGGTTCATGATGGCCGTGTAGTGCAGGGGGTGGCAGATGGCCACATACCGGTCATAGGCCATCACGGTCAGGAGGAAGCCATCCAATCCAGCAAAAATCATAAAAAAATACACCTGAGTGAGGCATCCTATGTAGGAGATGTCTTTTCTCTGTGTCTGGATGTTCACCAGCATCTTGGGGACGGTGGTGGAGGTGAAGCAGATGTCCACAAAGGACAGGTGGGAGAGGAAGAAGTACATGGGGGTGTGGACGTGGGGGTCGGAGCCGACGGCCAGGATGATGAGCAGGTTCCCCAGCACAGTGACGAGGTACATGGACAGTAGCAATCCAAAGAGGAGGGGCTGAAGTTCTGGATCCTCTGAGAGGCCCGAGAGGAGAAATTGTGATACGTCAGTGCTGTTTCCTGCTTCCATATGCAGGTGGTGTGTCTGCTGGGAAAGGAGGGAAAAACAACGTTCAGCAAACAGCCCGTGGGCACCTCGGCTAGTCATCAACTTCAGATACCACCTGCACATGGACATCCTTCACCCTCTATTCGTCCAAGTGCCAATGAGTCACTCAGTCAAATGGTAGTCCATTTTTGTTATAAAAGTAATTATTTAGCCTTTTTAAATACTAATAGAAATCTCTTTTTATCTCCTCACTCGTTCTAAGATGTGAAGAAACTAAGAACAATTTCTTAACACAACAAAGAGTGGTTTTAAAACAAGACAACAGAATATTCTACACTAAAACACTAAAATGTTCATGTCAAATTCATGAACAGGGATAGGTGGTCTACTCCAAGTTCAATCACCTGATATTCTCCTGAACCTTAAAGGGATTCTGAAGAAGTGAAAAAGAAATTAGCCTGATTGCCAAGTGTCAGAAATAACTATACTATTTGTAGGTGATACTGTGGGCACCTAAATGAAACAACAATCAATAGAGAACTATTAAGTGCTATCAGTAAGTCAAATCAGCAAAAAGGGGAATATAATGAAAAAGTCCAATCACATGAAGAATAGAATAGATAATACCTTGTGCATAATATCACCAGTGAGTAATGACTGGACCAAGGAAATCAAACAAGAACTTACAGTTAATGAGAACGAGTGGAGAAGAGGTGGAGAACTCTATGGAAAATAAGCCTTAACGGAGAGAGGCACCGATTCCAAAAAGACAGTAAAGGAAACAGCAAGAGCTGGAAAAGACTGGTTTAAACAGCAAGTAAGCACCTGCAAACCCCAAGGACTTCACCTCTGTAGATTAAATGAATGTGGAATGGTCCCAGTCTCATTTTTCTAGAGGCAAAGCCCAGTACTCACATTCTCTCCTCTTTTCCTTCTTACTCCACCAGTGCTCACCAGGACCCAGTGACTCTTGCTGAAGGTCATCACTGCAGCTTTCTGCTCTCTGTCCCAGGGGATCCCTCCTGGGTTTCACATTGCCTGGAACCAGAGAATTACAGGACAGAGACAACCAGGACATGTTATTATCATCACACGGTTGAATTCTCAGAGCTCCTCATTAAATAAATTGCTGCATTGACTTTCCTCTCTCCAAACAGTTCAACTCCCTTGGAATAAAAGGATACAAAATGGAAAGCTTTTAGCCAATGTTCTGTCTGTGCAGGCTGTGTTTGTGGTCAATGGCCATATGGAAAGAACAATCATTTTCTCCAAGGAGAAATTCTTTGGTTTGAATTAAAATGACAAGGTATCTCCTAAGGATTGTTTGCTTTTTACAAGACCCAAACTCAGGGGCCTACATTCAAGTGAAGCTCTTCCCTTGAAGAATTTTTGGAGATTCAGGGATCATTTGGTGTCCACAGTAACATGGAAGCAAAGATGTCCTTTTTTAAGAAAAGAAGGGTGGTTAATAATTTTGCTTGTGTTGAAAGACTAACCAAATTAGACTTAAAAAAATAACCCATGACATCATCTGGTGACATGGAGATTTTGTCACCATGGAGGGTTCCTTGTATTGCATGTAAATGAAGAGTCAGGGGCAAGCTGACCCAGGCACAGTAGGTTGAGGAATGTTGAAGAAATATCAGTGGCGAATACAAGTCCACTATAAAGTTTATCGAGGAAGGGGAAGACAGAGGCCAAACAGTGTAAAGGGGATATATTATATGGTCAGTTTAAAATTTTTTATGGAAAATATGGGAACAGATTTAACTGCAAAGAGAATGATCATATTTAGTGTAGGCATTTGAGTACACAGTACATTCTGGCCACATAATTCGTGCAATACAGTATTCACTCTAAATAAATGAGTCATAATGTGTTCTATCTCCAGTGTATAGAGCCCATGGGTCCTGAAAGCCAGGGTTGGAAGCAAAAGTGGCCCTCTAATGTCACCCCCAGTGAGCCACTGGGGAGTTTGTGCCTCAAGATCCACCATTCCAGCCTCTGCATGTTTAGAGGTCTGGATTTTAAAGGGTAACACGTCCAGAGACACGGCAAAAGTCCCACTGACCTTCAGGCTATGCTGCTGCCTGCCACTTCAGGTCCCTCCTGCCAAGAAAAGGAGTCACCATCCTGGCAGGGTAATTGGCCCCGGCCATCAGTGTCATTGTGTGACCGTGCAGTAGATGTGCCCTGGTATTGTGCTGTGCCCAGCCTGTGGCTGGGAGCGGCCGGGGAGGGACCTCAGGGATAACACCCTGGTGGATACAGGGGTCTGTCACTCAGTTAGGCTCCCACAGCATGAAATGTGAGTGGTGTGTCCTTGGGTGGGGCAGTTTCCTTTAGCAGAGAGCAGTTCTCTAGGAGGATGAAGGCTGAGGGCTGTCACCTGGGGCACTCCCTGCACCAGGAGGAATAATCCCTTAATTCTGGTGGAAGAAGTGGGCAACCCCTCAAGGGACTCACCACAGTCCACCCCACCAGCCATTTGGATCAGGACCTGTAACAGCACGTGCAGTGTCTCATGAGCGCTCATCCATCATGTGTGAGCGTAAGGAGCTGGGAAGGACTTAAGTTTACCCCTCAGGCTGATTCTTGGCACAGAGGTAGTCTACAACAACCAAAATTACATAGTTTAACAAGAACAAAAACCCACCAAAACTGGAGAAGGGAGAGAATCCGCTTTCCACAGTATTATGTTAAATGATGTCCAACAAAAGAAATCACAGGGCATTCTGGGTAGAAAAGTATGGCCCAATCAAAAGGACAGAGAAAAATCACAGAAACTGTCCCTGAAAAAGACTTCATGGAAAATTAACTAGAAAAATACTTTAAAACAACTGTCTTAAAGATGCTACAAAACCTACAGGAAGATGTAGAGAAAAAGTCAAGAAAACAATATATGAACAGAATGTAAATATCAATAAAGATATATAAAACCTAAAAGAAACCAAGAAGAAATTTTGGAGCTGAAAAGCACAAGAACTGAAATGAAAAATGCAATATAGGGATTCAAAGGCAGATTTGAACAGGCAGAAGAAAGAATTAGTGGACTTCAGGATAGGAGAATGGAAATGATAAAGTATGAGGGGCAGCAACAGACTAAACTGAAGTTGCATCCACAGTGTGTGCAGGAGGTAATTCAAGGAAACACCTTTTCTTCCATTATCCAGAATCCACAATTTGCCTAAAGTTTGCTGTGGATTCAGTGAGATGGAGAAATGACAATGGAACACTCTTGGGGTCATAGGGTTTATACCTGGCTTTATTCTCATGGTGGAAGATTGAGCACTAGAATCACATCTGCATCCAGAAGTCTATAGAAGCATAATTCACCTCTGCCCCTGCCTTTACACAGATCACTGGGTGGGGCTCTTTATATAGTAACTCAGTCAGTAAATGCTCATTGATAACAGGTGTGGAAGCATTAGCCAATTAGCAGCAGGCCAATTGCATCATCAAGTAGTTTAGGGTCAGGTGAGGATCCTGGCCATAGGAACTTTGGTTTCCCCACACTCCACCCCTCCAGGATTCCCACTTCACAATCTACATGTCCTCAATCTTCTGCAATGGTCCCTGTGTAAGAAACTTGAAGCACTGTAACCAGATTCCATAACAGCAACAGAGGATAACAACAGAAACTATGATACAGGTAACAAAAATTATAATAATCCTTGAGCATGAGGAGATCAATTGCTACCAAGTGGTCATTCCCGCTGTATTAAAACAAATTCTACTCATATGAGTTCATGACTTGCCCTTTCTATGGGAGAAATCAATCTTCTGCAATGGTCTGTGTGCAAGAAAGCTGGAACCTTGTAACAACAAAAATTATAATAATAATAGTTGTTCTCAAGCCCAAGGAAATTGACTGATGCCAAGTGTTCATCTCAGCTGTATTGAAGCCAGTCCCATTTCATGATTCACACTTTCCATGGGAGGCCAGTAATGGTACCGATAGGGAGCTCCATTCAAACCCAGCAAGTAGCAGTTTTTGCTAGGGTGGGTTCCCAATCTGTTAGGGGAGATTCACATTAAGGGTGAAAAGACACAAGTTTTGATGACATTAAACATAGGAAAATCTTGTCCATCAAGTAGGATGCGTGCAAGAGAGTGGTCCTGTGATAGGACCATGGCAGGAAGGGGGACCTGTCCAGGTCTAGTATACTGTACGTTTACCAGTTTCCCTGTGGGGGTTGCTTGGGGGTCTATATATAGTGCTACTGGAGGCCCATGCCCTGGCCATAATGATAACACAAAACTCCCTGGTAAGATACTCTTCCCTTCCTGTTATTTAGGATATACTACCATGATCTTTGGGGGCCACTCTGTTGTTACTCCAGGAATACACAGGTGGCCAGCTGTCAGGCCTTGTCCTTAAGGTGCCAGAGGGGCTGGCCATCACTGGTCCATATGTCAAAATGCCAGGGCCATGTCCACTGAACAGAGTCTGTAGGGTTGAGTGTGTGTGGTGCTAGCAGCAGGATCTTGCTCTGCTGACCAAATACTGGCTTCAGTAATTCCTCCTCGGTTTGCATGTGCAGTTGTATAGGAGAAACATCAATGTATGTTAGCATGTCCACAGGGCTCAATGCCCCTTTCTCACTCAAATGCCATAGCACTGTCCACAGGTGGACTGACCAGCCCCATAGGCTACTGGTGTCTGACTTCAGGACAGATTTTAACAAACCACTGTACCTCTCTATCATGCCTTCCCCACTAAGGTTATATGATAATACGTGAAAATTCTACCTTATCCCTAATTGTTGCACCCATTCTTGTAATGCATGTCCAGTAAAGTGGGTGCCTTGATCACTCTCAATCACCAGTGGCCTGCTATAGGCTGCAAATAGACACATAGGCCACTTTCGGTCATTTTCTGATCTACACAAAATGCAGGAGGAAAAGCAACCAACAGGCCAGTAGCTGTGTCCACACAAGTCATGGCATAGCAATACCCTTCGGATATGGGCAGAGCCCCAATATAGTCTACCTGCCATCTGACAAGCGGTATTGGCCCCCTTACTATTTTCC